CTGCGTTCGCAATACTAACATCAGTTGAACAATATTCGCAAAAGGCATAATTGTCACCTTTTTTACTTTTTTTAATCCCTGGAAAGTCAGTTGAAAACTGTTCACGATAAACGCTTTTTCTTTTTGACATCGTTAATTTTATAATTTAAATTAGTTTTATTTATTAATTTATTTGATAAAATTAAAAAAATTTAGATTAAAAAAAGTGGCTGTATAATATAAACGTCACGCGAAGAAGAGAACGCGCTCCACGCACAGTGAAGTTAGATGGACATGAAATCATAAAAAGTATTGTTATAGAAGTTATTTCGAACCATGGAATTTTAATCTATAGATTGGACAGAATATAAGCATTATATACCTGGAAACAATTATTAAGAGCAGCATTATGATTTATGATGTATAAATAATTATTTTATTTTTTTTTAATTATTTTAAGCATTATGATTATTGATTTATATTTATGATGTGATGTTGTATTGATATTTTCAGACTTAATAATGAAAAAAAAGGACACATTTTAAAAAAAAAGGACAAAATTAAAGAAATTGAAGAACAGATTTTAAAAAGGACACCAATGCAAAAAAAGGACATATGGGAGCCCTACGCATTGAACTTTGCATTACGTTAGTTAAGTTGTTACTGGCTTGAGATTAAACATTAAATTAAGACTTCTGTTATATACCTATATAAATTATAAATAAATTATAATGGATATTTCTAGTATTGTTTAATTATTTTATATAAAATCAAAATCATAGTTTCTGTATGCATTTTTTATTTTAATGAGAAAGTTTTTACAATGTAGGCAAGTGCAGTGGATGTATGCAAGCAAGCATGTAGTGGACAGGCTCCTAAGTTAATTAAATTAAATTACTCCTTACTGCCTGGTTTGTAACTATTCTCTATGTATTTATTGTTTATCTAGTTATTCGGTTAAAAAATGATTGTGTTTTTATCATAGTTGATAATTTTTATTTCTTGATTTATAGATCGTCTGATACTAATCAATAATAAATATTTATAATTAGATCTCATGGTGAATAAAGCAACCTTCAAAACAAAGAAGATGTAACCAAAGACATCAGGAAGGCAATGTGTGCAGAATTCTGTGTCAATTCAGTGAGTAGTATTCAAGAGGCAGGCTCTAGAAGATGTCAAAAAGCGAAAAATTGCAAGGTTTTTTGGTTGTTGTTGTTGTCATTAGGGGTGATGGTAGAGTTTGAATTGTGTATGATGATGAAGAAGAAAAGGAAGGTGAATCAGTGCTTCTGTAATTTCAAACTTTGTTCAATGATCGAACTTCAATCACATTTTTTTCCATGTTCATTCCAAAGCGCTTTCATACATTTTTCATTATCTTTTGTCATTAGAAAAAAAATTATACCCTAAATTATTCCAAACAGAAAACCCAAGTTTGGGATGGTGATTGACAGGACATTTGAAGTTAACTCCTTCTCGTCCTCTTGCTGCTGCAGCACACACAACCAACCAGCAGATCGACAGCGATGCAACAGAAAACAGCAGGAGAGTTTTAAAGGATGACAAAGATGATGATGGTAATGGAAAAAGGGTAAATAAAATATATCTTGTATCAGTTTTGTGTTAAGTTTTTTTTGCTTATTTATCAGCATTTTTCAGCGTCATCATTTGTTACTAGGGTCGTTTGTCATCATTTTCAATGTTATTCATAATTTATTTAGCTGTTCTAGTAAATTCTACCATGAGCTTTTTAATTGTTTGAAAATGTCTGAGAGTTTAGAGAAATATGAATGGATGGATGTTTATATGCTGTATGATGTATTATATAATTCAGTATTATTTATATTTTAATTAGATAACATTCAACAGATTCATAGATTGGCCTTTTATAGGTTAATATTAATGGTAATAATAATTACTGAAAGTTGAATATTAATCATTAATAATATTTATTTAATAATAATATTAACTTAACAAAATATTCATAACAGGTATGGTGGGAGAAAGTTGGAAGAGTGATATTAAATGGCCACAATCCTAACTACAAATGATTTAAGCATTAGTAATGTTAATAATGTTACTACTGCTACTGTTTGTGGAGGCATTAGTAGTTGTTATGATCTTTTAGTATTTGTAACATTATACAGATGAGTGATTGATGATGTTAAAATGTTTGCACTTTTTAGGGTGCTTTTTTAAATTTGTGATTTTTATATAATAGTTGTTTGTGAATGTGATGATTTCTTTGAATGTTTCAATTAGAAATAGTTTGAATTCTTTGAATGTTTCAGTTATAAATAGTTTGAATTCTTTGAATGTTTCAGTTAGAAATAGTTTGAATTCTTTGAATGTTCCAGTTAGAAATAGTTTGAATTTTTTGATTGTTTCGGTAAGAAATTGTTTGAATTCTTTGAATGTTTCAGTTAGAAATAGTTTGAAATCTTTGAATTTTTCAATTAGAAATTTCTAATTTATTATTTGCTTTTGTTTGTAAATCGGCATATTTTTAAGATGTAGAATTTCAATAGATTATTTTTCTGCTGTATTTTTATTTTTTTTGTATTTTATTTTTCTTGCTTTTATTGCGTAAAATATTTTTCTGAATAAAATTTTATTTGAAAAAAATTTGTTGAATTCTGGTGTTTTATTTAATAGAAAATATTTAAAGTCGTTAAAATAGCGTTTAAAAAAAATTCTCCCGTGGGGGTCCAACTTCGTCGTTTCGGACGCCTAGCGATCAAAAATAACCACTTTGATTTAACATTTTATTGCTTTTATTTAAAAAAAAAATAATCTGTTAAATTTTGGTGTTTTGTTTAATAGAATATATTTAAAGTCGTTAAAATAGCGATTAAAAAAAATTTATCATTGGGGGGTCCAATTTTGTCGTTTCGGACGCCTAGCGATCGAAAATAACCGTATACAAGTACACGCGTGATTAGTAGATACTGTAGCTATATATATATATATATATATATATATATATATATAGCCTATATATGTAGTATATATCATAGTATATCACATATATTAAGTAAATAGTATATACATATATATGTGTGTGATATATAGTACATACCATAGTATATTATATACATAATGTATGTCGTACATATATTAAGTACACAAAATATTTTTAATAATAAATTTATTATTTTTCATTTATTTTATTATTATTCTTATTGTTTGAAAATTTTCGCGAAAAATTGGCAAAATTTTGTTATGCAAAATAATAAGTCGTTCCTCAGAAATAATAAGTTGTTCGCTAGGATAAAAAAGGCGTGAAATTTTTATAAAAAACAGAAAGTGGAAAGGTTAGGGCCTGTTTGAGAAGTTCAAATAGAAAAAACTGGACACTTTTTAAATTGAGTTATGAACACTTTGGAGGGCTGGACTTCGAAATCGTTCAGAGTTAACTTTGGCAAATATCATTGATCATTTTTTTCCATTTCATGGGCATTTATCTGTTTGTTTCTTCTGCCATCTATCGAATGCACAAAAACTATTTTGAAACTCCGAAGTAAAGACTAAATTTATAATTTAATTAATTTTATTATTAGTTCAAATGTTATCATAACTTAAAAATAAAGCTATTAGATGAAAAACTAGATTCAACAATAAATTGAAGATGTCTAGAAAAAGTATTCTGCGATTGTGTAGCGCTACAAAATTTTTAACAAAATGTAAACAAAAAACCCAAATTTTGTAAAACTTTTAGCTGTCAATTTCAACACTAAAATCTATGAATTAAAATGTTTTAAAATCAAATTTAGATGCAAAAAAATAACAAAGCTAAATATTTAATTGAATTTTTTCCAAAACTCAGTTTTATTTACATAATAGCAAAAACTAGGCGGCATTGTTAAGTTTACTTTTCGCACAATTAATGCTTTAGCGCTTAATACATTTTTTCGCCACCAGAAATACATCTTTATACTATCACTCACATGTCCATGCATACAGCAATGAAGCATCGAAAAGAAAAAATATTAAGTTTATCTTAATTTTTGAAACTAATTAAGACGAAAAACTTGTTAAAATCGAACCAACCTAGGAAGGGACACTTGTTCTAAACTTTCTATACAAAAAATCATTCATACTTCTGAAATCTAAATAGAATAATTAATAATAATAGACAAGAATAATGAAAACATTAATAAAAATAGCCACAATAGTAATAAAAAATAATAACTTTTTGTGAACCAGTAGAAAGACAGAAATAAACACTGAACAGTAAGTAGTAATAAATCAGAACGCTATGGCAATATTGCAGCCCCTACTACTTCTGCCGCTTACAGTAGTAACAACGACGCGACGACAATAAGCAAACAATAATATTACCATTGTAATAATACAATAAACAAATAATAATAATTTAAAAAATATTTTTCTTTCTCCTCTTTATTTTCAACTGTTCTGAGGGGCAAAAAATGGGCAAGGTCCTTCTGTCCACTGTTCAGGTCACGACGATGGTGGTGATGATGATGATGATTATAGTGACGGTGGTGTGAGGATGATGATGATGATGATATAACAAACAGTACCATCTACTGTTTATTGACTACATTATAAACTAATTCCTATTTATTACAGTTTAATATTACGTATCATTTAACAAGGATGATGAATTAATATTTGATCCATTCAGCATCGCATGTAACATAAAATAAAACCTCAATAAATTAATAACGTTAGAACGAATTAGCATAAATAAGCTCGACCCACGTGGACTAATTGGTGCTCAGCTGATTGCGTGGCTCGGAAATGATCCTCCAGTAACGTCTGAGAGTAAGAATCGTGAAGTCGAAAGCTATCGGCTTCTAACTGTGGACTTCCGAGCTGGCGGTATAAATCTGTCATAATAAAAATAACAATAATATTCATAAATAATTTAATTATTATCAATCAATCTAGGTTTAGCGTCCAGAGACCCAGTTCCTCGAGGTCGGACGTTGTTTTCTTTGCCATCAATTTTTTGCGCCAAATTAAACGATCAGTTGTATCCATTTCATTTAAATTTAGAGCTTTCATGTCTTGCTCGATTGTTTGCGACAATTACAATAAATAATTATATAGCAAAGCAGTCAATGAGGGATAGGAAAGATGTTATAGGGAATGGATGTGTTTGGGATGGATCTGGCAAGTTGTGCATAGATGAGGAGGAAAAAGCTCAGGTGTGGAAAGCTCATATAGAAAGGTTGATGAATGAAGAGAATGAGTGGGATGGAGATGTGGAATCCGCGGTCACACACGGACCTATAGAGAAGGTGACAATGGAGGAAGTAGAGAAAGCAGTTAGAGAAATGAAACTAGGTAAGGCGACAGGGGTTTCGGAAGTGGCGGCAGAACATATAAAAGCGAGTGGGGTGATAGGAATTGAAGTTATGATGAGAATTGCTAACAGTATGTTTGATGATGAAGGTATACCTGAGGATTGGCGACACAGTGTGTTGGTGCCGTTGTATAAGGGCAAAGGAGATGTGAGAGATTGTGGGTCATACAGGGGTGTGAAATTACTAGAGCACGGAATGAAGGTAGTGGAGAGGGTGCTTGAGAGGAGGTTGAGAAGTATGGTGACAGTTAATGAAATGCAGTGTGGGTTTATGCCTGGTAGGGGAACGGTGGATGCGTTGTTCATGGTGAGAATGTTGCAGGAGAATTATAGAAAGAAGAAACGAAGATTGTACATGTGTTTTGTGGATCTAGAAAAGGCTTTTGATCGAGTACCGAGGAAGGTCATTGAATGGGCGTTGAGGAAGAAAGGAGTGAATGAGAGACTTGTTAAAGCTGTGATGCAGCTGTATGAAGGGGCAAAGACAAAGGTGAGGGTTGGAAGGGGGATGTCGGACGCTTTTAGTGTTAAGGTAGGAGTGCATCAAGGATCAGTGTTATCATCGTTTCTGTTTGCAATTGTGATGGATGTTTTGTGTGGAAACATAATGGAGGGGTTGTTATTTGAGATTTTGTATGCAGATGATTTAGTCTTGATGGCTGATAGTATGGAAGAATTGCAGTTAAAATTTGACAGATGGAAAAGTGTTATTGAAAAGAAAGGGTTAAAAGTTAATATTGGTAAGACGAAGGTAATGGTGAGTGGGGTAGGTGGGGAGCGAGTGATAAGTAAAATAGACCCCTGTGGGGTATGTGATAGGAGAGTGAAGGCTAACTCGGTATTGTGTATAGGATCTCAGAAATGGGTGCATAAGAGATGTAGTGGTGTGAGGGGGGCACTGAAAAAGTTGGAAGGCACGTTCAAATGTAAGAAATGTGTTCATGGTGTGATTAATAGGACGGACGCAAGGACGGGGTTGAGTGGTGGTATTGAAAGAGTGGAAAGCTTTGTTTACTTAGGGGATAAGCTGAATGCGGATGGAGGATGTTTGAGCGCAGTTACGGCTAGAGTTCGTGTGGGATGGATGAAATTTAGGGAACTGGGTGGGGTATTGTGTGGAAAGAAATGGTCAGTGAAGATGAAAGGGAGGGTATATAAAGCATGTGTGAGAACAGCGATGGTATATGGTGGTGAAACTTGGGTGTTGAGGAGAGAGGAGGAAAGTGTACTGCAGAGGGCTGAAAGAGCTATGGTGAGGATGATGTGTGGGGTTAAAGTGAAGGATAGGAGGAGTAGTACAGAGCTGATGTCAATGATGGGACTGAATGAGGACATTGTGACATTGATAAGGAGATCGAGATTGCGGTGGTATGGACATGTGTTGAGAAGGGATGAAAGGGTCGGGATTAGGCGAGCGTTGGAGTTCGAGGTTGAAGGAGTGGTAGGAAGGGGTCGTCCGCGATTGGGATGGAGAGAGCAGGTGGAGAAGGACAGGGTGAAAGCGGGGCTGCGTGATACTGAGGCGAGTGACAGATGTGGATGGCGTCGAGGGGTATTTCGGTTTCATCATAGGTAGCCAAACGGCAACCCCCGATCTCGGGGAAAATGCCGTCTAAACGTGTGTTGTTGTTGTTGTTGTATTATCATAATTATAATATTAATGACAATTAATTATACCACCTTTCAGGACGGCAGTGGCCCAGAGTTGGACCTGCAAATCTGGAATTTTATTGGCTAGCTGTAGGGCGGGGCTTATCATATTCAGGGCTTCCTGATAATAATAATTAATATGATCGTGAATAATTTTTGTAATAATTTATAATCATAATAATGATCATAATAAATATCATAGCGAAGATAGTTAATCACTAATTAACACCTGATTGTTGCCAATTGAAAGAAGCACGTGACCGAAAAGAACCAATAGGCATGCAGTCAATCTGTTTAAGTCTTCGGTATTGGCCAGTCTCAGGGCCTCTCTCAAACAACGCCTTGCAAATGAGGCAGTACGTCACCGTCATCACTCAAATTATTCATTGTATATCATTGAGAATTTATTAATTTTTTTAACCATCCCTCCACCCATCCATCCGTCCGTCCGTTCATCCATCCATCCACCCATTCGTCTATTCATAACGACTGATTAATTGAATGAATGACAAATTGATCAACTGATTTATTGATTAATTGGTTGACTGATTAATTGATTCACTGATTGATTGATTGAATAATTAATTGATTGACTAACTTAGCTTCTTGATGCTTAGATTGGAAGAATGCTTGAAGGCCTTGTATGTAGAAGGTAGAAGCTTTCATGCATTGAGAACTAGTGAAAATTAATTTTTTATTTTAACTCATTAATTAATTTTATTCATCCTTCTATTAATTCATTCATTCATTCATCCCGTCTTTCCTTCACGTGTCTATTCATCCATTCAAATTTTATGGTATTTATTTCACTTATTTACACATTTATAAAATCGGTATCATATATCAAATCAATCAATCAGTCAATCAATCAATTGATCAATCAATCAACCAATCAATCAATCGATCAATCAATCGATCGATCAATCAATCAATCGATCAGTCATTCACATGATCAACCACTAACACAGTGTTAATTCTCCCAGCTTCTATGGATTCTAGCAATGCATTCAACTCAATGTGTCTGTTCATACGTAAGTAAACTAATCCCATATTTAACGATACGAACATATGTAACTCTGGGTCCGGGGACTGTCAGAAATGTAGGGATGTGCTTATTTTTGAATAAATGAGTGATAATAAAAAGAAATTAGTGTACAGTCATTTGCATATATTATACCCACCACAAGAGCCACTTTAAACTGCGCCTCAGCTTGCTCCATGCTGTTAATTGACATGGCATACAAGCCCTGACAATAATAATTATAATAATAATTATGACCATAATTATTGCTATAATTACTGATGATGATGGTGATGATGATGGTAATGATGACGATGATGTTATCATAATTTTAGTGATATATCTGAATGATGAAGAACTGAAAAACAACCAAGCAAACGGATAAGTGTACGAATGAATGTATTGATCAATGAATGGACAAATGAATGAACGAACGAACGAACGAATGAGTGAACGAAAAAACGACTGAATGAACAAACAAACAAACGAACAAAAGAACGAATGGATGAATTAGAAACGAACGAACCAGAAGAACGTGTATATATGGACTGTGTCTCTTTGAAACCGTGGAATTTGAATGACATACCATACATAGCTGTAAGATCTGCAATGATACAAACAAACAATAAGAATAATAAATACATATTATTGTTATTAATAATTTAATAATAATAATAAAAACAATGGATGTAAAAAAACCTGCTGTAATGCTACAGACTTGTGGCCAGTTATAAGCCCACACATGACGATGTGCTCCAACAACATGGCCTGCAAAGATAGCACCGTGGGATTGGCTGAGGCTGTCATGTGGAATAAACCATCATAAATTATGTTAATGTTATTGAATATTAATGACGAAGAGATGTAATACGTGCCGGCAAAAAAAAAATTAAAAATACGTTGAATATGTATGAATTGTGCGGGCAATAAAGGTCAAATCCGCCAGCTAATTGGCAAAATTTATTAGTTTATCATAATAATTCCATTAACATTTTAGTTTGTCTATCTGTAACAGAGCTTTCTCAGTGTATTTCTGGGCTTTATCCGTATAGCCCGCCTGCATGGAATGCATTACGGTCACCTGTTGGAAGGGATGAGGAGTAAGTAAATGTGGATTCAATGGAACCATCCATTAAACGCTGCTAATGTGGGGTTGATAGATGTTTCATGAATTTTGAGATGGTTTAAACGATCAAATGATTACATTACAGGTAGAGTGATTGTCTGACTGTCTGTCTGACTGTTTGTCTGATTGTTTGATTGAGTGATAGTTTAGAAAGAAAGATGTCTGATCTACCAAGATTGAATGATAGATTGATTGAATGATAGATTGATTGATTGATGGATAGATAGATAGATAGAGAAATATCTAGAGTGACTGATTGATACATTGGGTGAAAAGTAGACGAAGATAGATAGATAGATTAGATTGACTGAAAAATCAAACATACCAAATACACCAGAACACAAAGTTGCTCTTTCGGTAGCCAATGGAATAATTCGATTGGGTTTAGTGTTTTCATGATTTCTAAATAAATTAATAAATTAATAAATGATAAAAAGTGAACTGAAACATGAAGCAAAGAATGAACCTTCATCGTTATAGGTGGTTGTGATGTTTTGTATGGTGTGCTGAAGCTGTTTCAGCATTGGCTTCACGGACTTTACCTTCAACAATGGAATTAGTTTCGTCGTTATTGTAAAAAAAAATAATCAATCTCGATATCATCATCATCATCATCGCCACAATCATCATCATCACCACGCAATAATCATCATCACTATCACAATCGTCATCATCATCGTCATCACCATCACAAACATCATCATCATCGTCATCACCATCACATACATCATCACCATCATTGTTAAAATCATCACAAACATCACCACCATCATTCCCACAATCTGGACCCTTACAATCGCCACCATCGTCGCGAACATCACCACCACCATCAACAACATGGCTAGTTCCTAATTCCTAACCTGGCCGACGAGTAGGTACTGCGACACCTGGATGACGAGAAAAAAAACCTCGATAAGATTTTTAACGTGTATCTGATTGCCTGCTAGCTGCCACTGCTCGATGATCACTCGGCACTGAGACAACGACTGCTGGACCTCCGACAACTTTCTGTCTATTAGTTGCACCTTTGTTGATGGTTTCATTTGAAAAAAAAACTTTAATGTGCATGCATGCATTGGTGTGTGTGTGGTGCATTCATGCATGCATTTGTGTGTGGTGCATTCATGCATGTATGCGTGCGTGTGTGTGTGGTGTATGTATTTAGAAGAATAATGACATCACCGTACTATAACAATAACAAAAACAACAACAACAATAATAACAATAATAATAATAACAATAATAATAATAACAATAATAATAAGAAAAAGAATACCATGGTTTTACTAAGCAGGAAGAGTAGCCTCATGTACTGGCTCTCCCTAAGAGTGGCGTATTCGAACCCGGCCGACAGAGTCAGAGTGGACGCCTTGTGGTCGTTCTCCTCCATCTCGAGTTGCTGTGTTTGTGTGGGGGGATGGAGGAAAAAAAATTTTTTTTTTGGTTACAAGATGGCAGGTTTTTAAAAATTTAATAGTTAATGTTGTGTGAATTAGAAATTTTCATATAAGAAATTCCAATCTGTGTTAACTTTAATTGTAAATATTTTATCGTTTCAATGACGCTATCAACGTCTGAATGTCTCCACATTAACATCACCGCATCATCATCACAATCACCATCATCATCACACTCACCACCATCACCATCATAGCCACACCACACCACGCTAAACCAAACAACACCACCACCATCATGACAAACAGCCAGTTGAAACAACATCCTAGAATGCCAGAATGGTGCGTGCAGCGACTGCTCCGTGGCTCTCCTCAAAAAATTCTTCGCCTCCATCAGCTGGCCCTAAAATTACAAAAATAATTATAAATTATATTACTCTAACATAAATTACATATCATTATTTTAAATTATTATATCATAATATATTGCTACACATGTATATGTTAATTTACATATACAACATTATTTGTAATTATGAATTATATTATTTCAACATGAATTAAACATCGAATTATAAATTATATTATATTTATATTATGTATATATTATATTAAATTATATTATTATGATATATTGCTAATTGTGTATATCATTGTATATGTATTGTATATTTAAATAGATATATATTGCCATATTTCATATTTAACTATAAATGAATTTATCACATAGAGATGTCTACATATGTATACATTTAGAAGACCTACTGAATTAAAAATTGAATTAAATACAGTTGAAAATAAACCAAACTGAAAGAAAGAAGATAAGAAAGAAAGAGATTTGAATGACTTTAAAAATTGAAATGATGCAAAAACCTGTTGGCATAGCAGCTGAGCCGACAGGCAGGCCGCTTCGAACTTTATGTCATCGGCAGAGTGACACTAAGATAGAATTTTAAGATAAAAATAACTAAAAAATATATATAAATTATTGATGAATCATTGAATTATTGATGAATTACTGATGAATTGTTCATAATTATTAATATATAATAATTACAAATAAATTATATTATTACTAAAAATCATTTTTTAATAAAACATGATAATAAATATAATTATAACATAACATAGAAATATAAAATTGATGAAAGTAAGAAATAGAAAGCTATTTGAAAATGAGAAGAGTTCAATATTGATCTGTTGCTACGTACTGTTTGAGATATGGTCCACTGAAAACAAGTAAAAAATATTTTAACAATTATTTGACATATTAACTTAAATAATAATTTATAAATAAATAAATTAGTAAATACTAAATAATGAATTGGTAATTATCTATTATTAGTATTAATGATTTAAAAAAATTCTCTCTACTAAATCAAATTAGTTTTTTTGCTGATTAGATGAATGTCAGTTTTTAAAATTTTAAAGTTAACTAAATTAATAAATTAACTAAGTCATTTATTTAATAATCATTTTGATTTTATTTATATTCTAATATAAACTATGATCTGTCTTCTTATTTTCTTATTAATTTCAATTTAACTATGACAAGATAAAAATTTTTGAATTGTAATGTATTATTTATCTATTTATCAGTTATCTTCATTTTATATTATAATAATTATTTATAATTATAAGATTTTATATTATAATAAGCATCTTTATCTTACTTACTTATATAATTAAAATTAATAAATTAAATTAAAAATCATAAAAATATAAAATTACTGAAAGAAAAAATAAGAATATAATATAATTGCTACCGCTCTATCGAGATGTGACAGGGACAGTTGAATATTTTTCGTCCCCTTCGACAGGACGGTCCCAATCTGCAGGTAAGTCCGTGCTTGGATGAATGCTGGTGGACTGAAGTTAAAAACTGCCTGCAGACATTGCACACAAAATTTGACATTTGGCGGATTCAAAGTTCTAAAATATTCCGCTAAGCCAAGAAGCGACGGATACCAACTACCTAACTGCTGCGATTCGTCGTAATTTACCACCAAATTATTCGAATTATTTGACATATTAAAAAGTAATCTCTCAGCAGTAAAAAAGAACTAACTAAAAGTGAATCTAAGTAAAAACAAAATAAATTGACCTAGCCAATGAAACGCAAGTATAGCGTGCATCGCACCGAACACATTTTTATCGGAGCAAAAGCCGGAACTCGAGACAGAGCGACATACAGAGACTAAAGACAGAGCGACATACATAATCGCAAACATGCTGTATTAACTCTATTATCGTAAAATTTTCAAATTTAAACAGTTAATGTGATATTTGTTATTTGTAACGAACAATTGGATGAACAAAAACATGATATAAAAATATTACTGTGTCGTTAAGGAATATTAACAGAGATATAAACAAATAATCTTCATCTGTACAATTTGAAATTTATAAAACATAAATATACACACAAGCAAATATACACAGGTAAACATACACGCATATACTTACAAAAACATTACAAGACTGAAAAACTAAAATTGTTATTAAACCACATAAAAATAATTTCAACACTCAATTCCTTTGATATTTTTATATACACACGCACACACACACATATATAAATATATATATACACAAGTACGTATAATTTTAAACATACAAAACAAATATATACAACATCATCGTCGTCGTCGTCATACTTCAACAACATATACATAATATTATGACGCTTCAACTCCCAAGTGTAAATTTGCTCCATCCAATGTAAACGCCAAATTCCATACAATAATAAAAAAATAACGAAATCAACGATAAAAATAATAATAGCCACTGAATTACAGGATATGGTACAAACACCGCCGTGCAATACATCTCGACCGTCATGGTGGTCATCTAAGAGTTGATTGGTTTTACTACCATTACAACTCAACAGTTCCAAAACTATTTATTGAGTGCATACAAATAACCTTAGATACGATCAGATTGAGTTATATATAAATAAATATATATATGCCATATTTAATCCCCAAATTGTAACAACCAACCAACCAACCAACCAAACAAACAACCAACCAAACAAACGAGGAAATACTAATTGAGAATAACTAGAAAAAGGAACATAACGAACCCCATGTACGTGTGGATAGAACTATTTAATTAAATATACACTCATACATACATTAAAAAAACAAATAAATGTAAATGTAACAAAAAGAACGAGAAAAAATTATGGAAGTAGGGAATTACTAAATGATTGAAAGTTAACTAACAGACCAGACAAACGTATGATAAAAATTAAATAAATGGAAAATAAAAACAACCACAGAAACTAACTTAATTAAATATAAACACACACACACACACACACACACAGCTAACACATACATACATACATACACAAGACCATGCATACATGTAGGCAGACAGTAAGCAAACACAGACATACACGCATATTGAATAACACGTTATTTCATATCCACATCCCATATATAAATAAATAAATTATTCATAACCGTAAGATTATGAAAATAATTTGTAATCAACCATTCTCTTGCCAGTAAACACTACAATGAATCACTATTAGAAGGACGAATGCTAGGCAAAAAGCTTAAATGTCCTAAAGCAACGATAGAAAAAAAATTTGTATGTACGCGTGTATGTACGACACATACGTATGTACCTATATATATATATATATATGGTAAAGAACCATTGTTTCACCTTCGTTTTAAGCCAGAGGCAAAACACGCCTGTAATAGCGTACGTCTCTGTTTATACTCAAATAAGTATATATATGTATATACATATTGATCTAATATATATTAATCTAACACTCCAATCGAAGAGGGTAAAATATGAAATAAACAAAACACGTCATACCCAACATACCACCAACCAACAAGCCAACCAACCAACAAGCCAACCAGCCAACAAACCATCCTTCCTACCTACGTTCTTATAATAATAACATTAAAAGTAACATCATTAAAGAAGGATTAACTACTACTACTACAACTTTACTACTACAAATATTATTAATATTGGTTTTACGTGACGTGGAAAAAATATGTATGCATGGGTATCTCTTTCACATCTGATTATTAGCATTACATCATGCAGTATATATTATATATATGTATAATGTATATATAAATATTCATTTATTATATAATAATAATATAATCAAATTAATAAAGAAAGAGTCTCAGAGAATGAAAGAATAAAGAATGGATGGATAAAAATTGCAAAACGTTTAAGCTCATCTTTGTGTTAGCTGTAAGATTTTAGTTGAAGAGATTGTTATGGTTATATATAAAAAATTAGGGAAGGATTATCATTTTTAATAGAAAATAACGAAAAATATATAAACAAAAATATACTGAATAAGATTAATTAAATGGGCAAACAAACCAATAAACTGACAAGCAACTGAACAAACGCAGACAGAGAAAAAAACCGTTAAAGACATTCAGACAGTAAACTATAACGTGAGACACTATACCATTGGAGAAAAACCTCTTAACCATCATCTATATCAGTATTAACATTGCCCACTCACTCACTCACTCACTCACCATCATGAATATGTAAAATGTTGATAGGCATCTGGGCAACAGATAAACAAACGAACGAACCGCCCATTTATTATAGCATAATAACAATAAATAAATACCTACAATAATATGGTAACGAAAAAAAAAAATCTAAAAATAACTTTTCAAAGAAAAAAAAACATTTGAATATACAAATAAATAAATCAGTCCTTGCAAAAATATCTTAGAATGAAAACAAATACATGTATTACAAAAAAAAAAAAGAAAATCAAGATGAATAAAATAAAATTTAGGTGACAAATTTTGAAAAGTCTTGCACCTCCTTGTTGCATGCATCATCACACATGAAGATCATCAAATTCTCTAAAGAGCAGACAAACAAGCTACCACCGGCCCAATCAACAGCCAAATATAACCAACCCACACTAATTCCAATCTGACAGATGAATCAACCAGGCAATCAATCAATTAATAAATACATCAGTCAACAGGCCAACCAACACCAATCAATGACTCAATAAATCAGCTAACCAGTCAACCAATCAAGCAAACAAAAGAACAACAAATCAATCAATCACACATCTACTCCTCAACTAATCCATCAGTCAGTCAATCTTTGATCAAGCAATAAATCAATCAATCAACAAACTAGTATCCACTCAATCAGCAAATCAATCAACAAATCAATCAATCAACAAATCAATCAATCAATCACTGGAGAGCCCTCAACTTTTCCAGAGTATCAGAGCTGGCCTCAGCCCTCAGTATTTTATTTTCGTACTCAAGTTGGGCATTTTTCTCGAGGAGCTCTTTGATTTGTTCCTTTAGTACCTCAACCTCCTCCCGTACGGCAAACATCAGGTGCGATTTGACTAGATCCTGTTATTAAAAGTGTGTTTGTGTTTGATTGGATGATGATCTTGGATTGATTGGCTGATGACAGACTGGTGGTTTGTCAATGATTGTTTTAAAAATTGATTGGCTAGAGTTTAACTGACTGGTGAGGTGATTATTGATAGGTATAAATATTGAAACAGTACAGCACATAGGCAAACAAATACGCGAACAAACATACAAACCATGGCTTGTTCAATCTTGTTGTCAATGGCTACACTGCTCGTACCACTGTTGGGTGAGTTGATGATGGAAATAATAAGAAGAGGAATTGGTGATTAGAATTCACAAATTAAAAAAAAATTTCATCTAATAAGAAAAATTAACAATGAATGAATATACAAAACTAGAACAATTATTCACACACATACACAGACAGACAGACATACATATTCACGCCAAGCAAGATAAAAAGAGAGAGATATTGAAAAAAAAGAAGACATAACAAGGCTGTAAAAAAAAATAACTACGAAACCTCAATTCAGCTAAAGAACTGAGCATGTAACATTTTATGTGGGAGACAGCAGTCTCGAATAGGTCAGTTCCAGACTCGAACTGGGTAAACCTTAATATACCCATCCCTGATGTAGAAGTAGTCGTGGCAGTAGTACTATTACTATTACCAAGATTGCAATAACTGTTACTACCTTTACTATTGCTACTTGTACTACTAATATTACTACTGCTACTGTTGTCACAACTGATGCTGTCGTTGCTATAGTTGTTGTTGCTGCTATTATTGCTGTTGCTATCGTTATTTGTGTTGTCGTTTTGTAAACTGACGAAGCTGTTGTCTAAGCTAGAGACGTTCATACACTTTAGCATAATTATCATAAATATTTAATGTAGATAACCACTTGTTTTTATTAGCAGTGAGAAAAAACTTTCTGTCTTTTATGTATGCAGCAATATCAACGAGGAGATAGATATATAATTATAATAGATTGATTGATCCTTGTTACGAAGAAAAAAAATAAACAATATCAATGTCGTTTATGTTAAATTATTTAATTTTAAACAGTGAAATTTACATATAGCTATTTATATACAATAAAATTAATAATTACACATACATATTAATCAATATTTAGCTCCAGGCTTATTGTATATTGATTTTGTAACTGTCATTGTTTGTTGCAAGTTTCATTATATATATTCATTTAATTATTTACTTTTGAATGATATGCAAATGATCAGTGTGAGTAAGACATAAATATATACAACAATGATTGTGGTGCTTGCTATCAATGTAGTTTATAACAACAAATTTATGTCATCAAAGTTACAATGTGTTTTATCTATTTTTATCTTTAAAAACTTCTTTCACTAATTCTAATAATTCATTGGGACAATGTTGTGTAAACCCTAGGGTACAGTCTTTTTTGCTCAAAACATTTATCTTATTATTATTAGATATATATTATATTTTCATTTATTTATTTATTAATTTATTTATTCATTCAACTATTATTAATTTAATATTTTATATATTTATTTATAAATATTTAATAACGAGTCAGTCAACCATTAGCAGCCTGAGGCATTGATGTGATAATTTTTTCGTTCAGTACAAGGACTGTAAAATATTTCCTCAAGATGGCGGCGGCGGCGACGAATGACGGAGCCAAAATTTTTTTTTCACGTCTACTGTTGTTTAATTCCTGAGAAACTTGCATCGCTTTTAAGATGACGACTGCATCAAAATTTCATTATTCAGATTTTTAAAAGATAAAACGGAGAGTTACTTTAAAGATTTAGTTAAGAAACGTAGAAATTCATTTAGAAAACTCACTTCGCTGGGTAATGAGAATGGTGGAAAGGAACGCGTATTAAAATTCATTTAATTCGGGAAAATAAAATTCTTAAGATTCGTACGTATCTCACTAATCGATTACGATTAATAAACAATTTGAAACAATCTTGTTTTGCAAAAAACGCGATTTTGATGACAAATTCAACTGAATTTTAGACGAAGTCGCTAAGATAAACAAAATTTCATTTATTTTTCGCAAAATAAAAACAACCCTAGAACATCAGAACCAGTTTTTTCCGGTTTTAAGATAAGGAATCTCATTAGAGTACATTAACCCTGCAACAGCCAATCAGAAGCTAGATACTAAAATAACCGACCAATCACATCGAGCTGCCGATGCATAATTTTATTGACAAGTAATGGACGGTTTTTGAGCGAAAATAATCGAAAAAGTTCGACATTACATGGCTTAGTTTGATTTTTTTCATGAAAATACGAAACATTAACAACGTTTTATTAGGATGCTTGTCGTTTAAAGCAAAATAACGATCACAACAAAAGTTAAACGCTTCGCTATTTAAATATCGCACCGAGAAACGAAAAGTGCATCTACACTTAAACCCCTCATGATTACATTATTGGGAAGAGAACCGTCTGCGTGTCATGCGCGGACCGACCCTCATATTCATTCCTTTCTCGATAAACTAACCAACCACATTTTCTTCCAAAAATTTTCTAACTGCACGAAAGCAAGGAAAAAAAAGAGAGAGAATTTCACACACAAGTCACAACACCACACAGCAGCACAACACATGCAAACGAACATCTTATTCACTCTTATCTGCACATGCAGCACAATAAATTTATAATTGAAATAAAAAATTAAGTTTAGAAACAGATCAAACCTTTCATCGAGATCAGAGAATGAAGATGAGCTCATAGTTGCAGTGACCATTGCCATGAGAGGTGATGCAGAACCTATGGTGCTTCTTTTGTAAGATAACTTACCTTCTACTAAACTTGAATTAGGTGCCAGAGTTACACCCCCAGATTGCAGAAAATTTTCTAAATTAGGAGCTGGAGGTAAAAATTTTTCTGGCTGCTTACCATCAGGATCAGATAGTAAGCTTGGCGGTAATACATCTCTAGAAATGTTTGAAGAATCTAAATTAAAATTTGTAGATGTAGTTGTTGTCAGCGGAATTGAATCTATAACCTCATTGGTAGTAGAACAAGGCAACATCTCGATATCATCTAAGATCTGTTGCTTACTGTTTAACAGTGGTCCGTGCATTTTCAGAATAGGATGGCCTTCCGTGTATACAATAGGTGCAAAGACTGCAGTGTTGTGATCATCAACAGCTGGTGGTATGTAGTATATAGAATCTGTCATATTCAGCTGCTCACCTTTGTTTCTTGACTTATCAGAGGTATCACTGGGATCTGAGAATGTTGTGCACGTCCACCTGCCCCTCTTCAGTCTATCTTGACTCTCTAATTTCACTATTTTGAATCTAGATCTTGAATCTTGAGATGTTTTTGATTTTGATGTGGCAACATGACTGCCTAAAATGGCCGTCTGGTTGGGGTTGTCGGGGATCGAATGTATTAGACCAGACCAAACAGCATCATCTGTACCCCCAGGGCTGTGAACTGTGCTGGCTGATGAAGGCTCATGTTCAACATCTGTTGTCCTAGAGACATCCAGACTCAGATCTTCTGTATTCGTTGTTTCATCAAGATCATCCTGATTTTCATCCTTCTTACCTTCTTGTTTCACACTTATAATTTTCGTTATCTGAAATGAACTTTTTTTCTGCTTATTGAAATCACTGGAAGCATCGAAAAATTCTAATTGTTGCTGTTGTTGAATTTGCTTGAGTGAATGGGCATCTAATGTAGAAGAGCTTTGAGGTTGAACGACAGGCGGCGCATTTGCAGACGAATTCGTAGTAGTAGAGCTAGCAGCATCACAAGTGGGTGGCTGGAGAAGAGAAGGTTTTTGTTGTTGGCCTGTCACCAGCGATGATGATGTTGACGGATTCGGTTTTGATGTCAGTTGCTTGTTAACCTCGTTAGACGCTTCTGCTTGCTCGCCGCCTGCTGCAGCGGACATTTTGAAGTGGTAAGTAAACGAAACTCTTAGAGAAATGAACAATATGAACATCTGATTTTAATGTAAAAGCGCATTTCATGGAGTCCCACAACTCATAATAAATTAGGTGACACGTTTCGAACGACGCCTTTACCTTAAAATTTTTATGAAATTATTTCTTAAAAAAATTAATATAACCAATTAAATGTCAAAATTGCAAATAAAATGAAAACTTCTCG